AAAAAAAATGAAGGCAATTTAGAGCATTTCTGTGAACAAATTAAAAATAAAAATTACTAATAAAAGCTTGAGAAAATTTAGTTTACCAAGAAAGAATTGACTTGTTATACTACCTAGTAACTGATGGTGTTACTGACAACTTTATATGGCTTTTGTATTTTCATATTTCATTAACTGACTTTGTCAACAGGGGTTGGTTGGTTGTTTACCTGTGTCAGGAACAGAAAGGGGGTGCACTTGTGGTGGGGAGATCATGTAGACCTGTGCTGTCCACTATGTTAGTCACTAGCCACATATGGCTATCTATCTCTTATTATTTTAAAGATTATATTTTTCAGTAATTTCTACACCCAACGTGGGGCTCGAACTCACAACCCCAAGATCAAGAGTCACATGCTCCACTGACTTAACCGTCAGGTGCCCCCACGCTTAAGGCTATTTAAATAGTTTTAATGGCTATTTAAACTTACATCAAAAATTTAGTTTAGTTGCACTAGCCACATTTTAAGATTTCAAGAGTCCCACACATGGTTAGTGAATACCAACTATATTGGGCAGTGCAGATACAGACATGTCTATTATTGCTGAAAGTTCCATTGGACAGAATGGACTTGAAGACTCTTGAGGTACATTATCTACAGTGGAGGTGGGGAAGGTCTAAACTGAAGCAATCACAATCACATGGAGACAACAGATCTATTGAGATACTTAATGTACTACAGAGTAAAGATAGGGTGATTCATTTAGGAAGTCTTCTGTTTCTCACCCTAGGTAAACGGGTAGATGGTTCATTCACCAACAAAGTAATATAGAAGCAGGATTTAGGAAAGAGGATGAAATCAGATTTGTACTCAGTGAGAGGCAACCCTTGTACAGGTCAATGGTCTGAGAAGCTGCTGGATCTCAGAATGTGATCTGTGGGGAGTCTGGATGGAGACAGACTTCCGAGGAAAGAACAGTGGCCATGAATAGGGGCCATACACTTAGGTGAGGGCTCTGAGAAAGCAGGATGCATGAGATGGTCAGAGACTAGCATCAGAGGCCCTTGCATTTTGGGTAAGGTTTTCAAACATTAGCAGGTCATGAAATCAGCAGAATAGGTCTCCACTAGCATTAAAATATTAATATACTTTGCATATAATTTAAGTAAAGACCTTTCAGATCTTTCCCCGAAACTTTTTTTATAAATAAATGTTACACAATGATATGTAAGCTGCGTTACAAGGTAAAACATTTTTGGGTTGTAGTCCAACTAGTTTGAATGTCAACTGATTTATAAAATGAGTACCACAGACTATAAGCTACATGCAAACTGGAACAAGTGTCCTTTTCCTCATCACCTAAAATCCTGGCACATACTAGACACTTAGTAAAGACATAATGCATGAAGAGAATAAATCAACGGGCCAGAAAAATAAGAGGAAACCCAGGACAAGGGTGACTCAGAAGCTAAAGAAGGATGAGAGAGAATAAAATCCAGTATCAGATATCAGTCATTTGGTGATATTCAGAGCATGGATGACCTTGTCTGCAATTTCTGTGCATTGGCAGAAGCAGAAGCCAGACCGCAGAAGTAAATGGGAGAGGAGGAAGTAGAGATGAGATGAATGAAAGCGGAGAGACATTTGTTTTGTATTGAAGATGCGAAAGTTCAACATATGTCTGGAAGAGATATAGGAAAAGTACACTCTAGAACTGTGCTGTCCAATGGAATCACCTATGGCTATTTGAATTAGAATTAATTTTTTTAAGTTTATTTTGAGAGAGACAGAGACAGCATGAGCAGGAGGGGCAGAGAGAGGCAGAGAATCCCAAGCAGCCTGTGCACTGTCAGCACAGAGCACAATGTGGGGCTCGAACTCATGAACCATGAGATCATGACCTAAGCTGAAACCAAATTGGATGCTTAACCAACTGAGCCACCCAGATGCCCCTATTTAAATTAGAATTAAATTTTAAAATGCTGTTCCTTAATAATACTTGCTGTACTTTAAGTGCTCTATGGCCACATGTGGCTAGAGGCTGCCATATTATTCAGGGTGACAGAGAACATTTCTATCATTGCAGAAAAGTCTACATGAGAGTGCTGTTTTAGAAAAAGGTTTTAATTCATGTCTGTGCTGGCCTCAATAAAACAAGCCGGTGTACACTGCTCTCCAACCTACTCCTACTTGAAACGTTATCCAAACATTTGGATAATGCTGTAGATACTACAATCAATACATGATATTACATTTGGTCTCAGCGAGAGTTAACCCCAGGAAAGGCCAGTGGAGACATCAGGGAGGCTACTGACTTTCAGGATGTGATCTAGGGGTAGTCTGGGCATTACATATATTCATGTTGTTATCCCACCAAATACAAGAAAAATACATGGCAACTAGAAGCAGCTCACGATTGCTAATGACAATGCACAGGGAAAAGGAGCTGTAGGACAAGGTATAAGGTTGACAGACACTGGAGCAGTACTGGATAGAAAAGGCTGGGAGAACTCAGGCTAGATTAGATAGAAGATGGTTGGGTAAAATGGGAGTCATTATAGTGAAACTCCAGTTTAAGAAAAATTAAAGTTACTAGCAGAGAACAAATAAATACATTGTTTCTGATTTCTATGTGTAATTTTCATGACTACCTTACTAACAAAAGCAATGTGATAGAAGACAGGTGTTATTATCCATAAGACCTGTCCACTTAGACACTGTTAACGGAGATCTCCAGGCTGACTCACTGAAGAAGCTACTTGTAGAAATAAAAAAATAAAATTTCCAATTTTGTGGGGAAAAAAATACCACTTTTAAAGGAATATACTTGGCTCTACAGAGAGAGAACCAAAGGGAAGAAAGGACATTCAGTTCATTTGCCTTCTCCACCTAGGATAAGTAAGGTCTTTTGCAAAAACAAAACGTGAATCCTCAAGTCTTCCTCGTAGCCTTGCCTGGAGATACCTGGGAGTGACCATCAGGTCGTTCAGGTCAAGTCCTTTCATTGATATAACAAACTCCTCACGGGCTTTTAAGCACGGGATTCAGGTTGCCTAGGTTTCTAATTAGTGCTCAAGAGGGAAACCATGGTCTGCGGGACAGGGCCCGGCTCCGGGAAGGGCTGGAGAGGCAGAGCGCCGGGGTCACGGTGATAGCGCCGGCCGGAAGCCTCGAGGAGACCGGTTACTTATCAGGGCTGTCCGTTTTAAACGTCGTTACTGGGGCGCCTGGGTGGCGCAGTCGGTTGAGCGTCCGACTTCAGCCAGGTCACGATCTCGCGGTCCGTGGGTTCGAGCCCCGCGTCGGGCTCTGGGCTGATGGCTCAGAGCCTGGAGCCTGTTTCCGATTCTGTGTCTCCCTCTCTCTCTCTGCCCCTCCCCTGTTCACGCTCTGTCTCTCTCTGTCCCAAAAATAAACGTTGAAAAAAAAAAAATTAAAAAAAAAATAAATAAACGTTGTTACTAAGGACCTTGCTGACTTCACCAAAGTGATTACCGATAGTTACTTCTGCAAAACGACCGTATGTGCCAAATAAAGAGTTCGCTTGACCTGGATCCGAGCCGTCCCGCTGCCACGGCAGAAGCCAACAAGTCCACTTCTGGCGCCGCTTCTGACTTCCTGGGCGAGGCCGGAAGTAGCTTTCCGGCCGCCAGAGCCGCAGAGCGTAAAACAAGATGGCAGCACTCCGACTAAAGCGATTGTCCAATCTTCGTTTTATTTCTACCACCTCTATACCCACAAGGGACTCCGAACTTCCATAGCCAGATCTAATTTTTCTCACCACAACACGTTCATATTTCAGTATCGTTAATCTGGGGTGGAAGATGGGTTGGAGGCAGCTCCAGGCAGCGACCATGAGTACCATGGGGCATCATTTTGTACGGAAACCGGAAACCAAACGCCGGGCGGGGACGAGGTACGGAAATCCAGAGGTGGCCCGGCTGGCCAGTAGAGTGTGGGGGGAGGGGCGAAAGGGCTGGAGGGCGTTGTTAGCGCATGATGTATTTCCGCTTCCTCTCGGCCCAGTAGCTTTTGGTTGTACTAGCTATCTTGTTGCGGGGAGGGAGGGGGAAGATTGTTTGCAGTGAAGGAGCTCAGTGTACGGGAAGGTAAACTGAGGTAAGGTTCTGTGTCTGGGGCCCGGGGCTTTGCGTGCGGTTGTGTAGGAGGTCTGGGGGCAGGGTCTTCGGGACTGAGGAAGATTGTGGGGTTGGAGCCTGGAGGCTCGTATTGTCCGCCTGTTTGGAGAGAGGAGGGGGGGCGGGGCTGGGGGTTACTAGGTGAATTGCAAAGCCCGGCGGGTGTGGAGTGAGGGAGGGCGGAAGAAAAGGGAGGATGGAGGAGATGGGGAGATATCCGAAGGAAGTCTGGAAAGCGCAGATCGGGAGGGGCTGGGCGAGCGGAGCTGGGACGCGGGAGGTGTAGGATCTCAAGTCCTTGAGGGCTGAGGAAAGTATTCGCGGTGGGGGCTGGTCAGAATAGCGGGGTGTGAAAGGAAGAGAGTGAAGTTCTTGGGAGGCTGAGGGGTTGGAAGGGGCTGGTGGCCTGTGTTCTGATGCTGCCCCTGTACTTGGCCTTTGTTTCCCTTGCAGCTCCCCAGAGACTGTCATCCCGCAGCCTCGGTTCGGGCCCAGCCTTCTCTCTCCAGTTGCCACCACAGCCTGGAGGCGCCTGCCTCCGCCCTCCCGAATGGTGCTACTCCTCGAAGGCCTCGGCCCAGGATCCAAACCCCCTTTGCCCCCTGCCTCGGAGCGGTTGCTCCGGGTTTCTCCTGGTGGACTCCTCGCGACGGGGACGGAAGAACTTTTGCACCGACAAGGCTGTAGCTTTAGGAACCCCGCTGACAACGTGAATCTTGGCCTCTAACCCAGTGTGAGGTCATTCCCGTGTCCCTTTTTACACCCTTTGAGAAGAGAAACTCTTCTTGTTACCTGGAGCCCGGGAAGCCCCAAGCTGGGGCCCTGGTCCCACCATGTCAGTCCTCTCTTGTGCATAGGGCTGTGCCCTCTCCCCATTAGCATGGCTGAATTCAGGCAGGTTCCAGGGGGGCGGGAGACCCCGCAGGGGGAACTTCGGTCTGAGGTTGTAGAGGATGAAGTCCCTCGGAGCCCGGTCGCAGAGGAGCCGGGAAGAGGTGGAAACAACAGCAGTGAGACCAAATTGTCTCCAAGAGAGGAGGAAGAACTGGATCCTCGAATACAGGTGAGAAAACTAAAGGGAAAGGAGAGACAGGGAGCCCAGATTCCAGTTTTCCTGAAGAGCTGTCTGATAAATGAGGGATTAGATTTATTCTCTCCCCAGTGCGCTGGGGCAGGAAAGGAAAACAAGTTTGTCAGCAAATCACTGCAGGATAGTGTGACAAGTTCTAAAAGAGCTGTGTGTGGAGTGCAGAGAAAGGCCTGGGCCTGAGTGCCTGGGGTGTGCTGCTGAAGGCTTAACTGACAAAGGGAAGCAACAAATTGGCCTCAGATGCAGGGCCTCATTTCGGTCAGTGGAGAGTAAAACTATTCTTCTTTCTAAATAAGTAAAGTGGCTGTTGGCCCAGAGATGCGGTATGAGTGGGAGGCACTTTTGAATCTTCTCTTTTGTCATCTTCTCATTAGTGCCTCCCAGGGATGTTCACATCTGTAAAGGGTGAGACATTTCATGTTTTACAACGCCTCACCAGATGGAGGCCTGTAAGGAAATCTGATGTGTTTATGGAGTTGTATCAGCCATGGTCCGTCCTTAATACGGATTCCGAGTTCTGAGGATGCTGGTTATACCAAATGAATGGAAAAGCTGACTTATTGCCTTGGAGTGTTTACAGGCTAGTAGTTGGTAGGATGGGCAGATCTTTGTGAAGGAGCAGTGGGTGAGGACAGAGACCATGGGGAGGAGATGCATGGTCGGCTGAGGTGGGATTGTAGTGTTTACGTGCATTGGCTGGGAAGGGTTCCCTGGGAAAGCAGCTTGGGTAGGTGAGGGCAGGAAGTGCTTGTGTGTTTGGGGCTCAGTCTGCCATAAGGTCTCATAGCATCTCCAAGATTCTGATGTGGAGGTGACTCACACCTCTGTAGGTGAGCAAGAACATCTTAGGGCTTGCATTCCTGGGCTTCTCTGTCAACAAACCTTTATTAGATTGCTTCAGTGAGTCAAGAAGAAATCAAATCTGGTCCTCACATCCTTCCTGCCCTCTTGGTGGGGGTTCCCTGGATGTTGGGCAGAGGAACTCCATGCTTATATGGGAGATGCAGTGAGCCATTCATCTACTGGCATGAGTCAGTAATTTATTTCCACCCTATCTCATGGGTGTTGCATTGAAAACAGCTCAATTTCTTCTGCTAATTTTACAGATTTGTCATCTACTGAGGAAGTAAGTTATAGTGAAAAACGCATTGGCCTGAGATTGAAACAACCTCCAGCCTCATGATTTGTGATTTTCATGCAAGTTATGTAATGTCTAAGCCTCACTAACTTCATCTATAAAGTGAGGGGTTGGTGCAGTTTATTTGCACAACTGCTCACTCTGCTCTGACATAGTCCTATGATTCTTTTCTGTTACAACTCTTTTGCTTCTCTCTTGGTGAAAGTTTGGAGGTAGTATTTTGGGAAACAGACCCCTGTCTGTTCTGTTGGGAGGAGGACTGTATGGTGTGCTTCATACACCTTCTCCCAACATTCCTTGCTCTGCTCCAGGGGAGGATCTACTGTGGTTTCTTTGCTCAGTCTCTCCTGCTCCTGTGTATTTTTCCAGCACCCACACAGGCAAAGGCAGTAGTACGAAGAGTCACTCTCATGTTTTGCTGTTCACTAAAGTAGCTATTAGCCACACGTGGTTACTTAAGTAAAATCAGTTAAAATTAAATAAAAATGCAGTTCCCCAGCTGCTGTTGGTATTGTAGAAGTAGAACATAGTTCTATTAGAAGAGCTCTGTGAGGGTTGAAGAATATCAAGCAGGCCTAGATTTGCCTTAATTCCAGGGAGCTTGCAGTGTTGTTAATTGGAGCAAGAGGGACAGGCAGATCATAATCTCTCTTGCTAAACTGGGAGGCACATTGTGGAATGGTGTGGGTAATGTGGGGAGGAAAGGTCTTGTTGTAGAGGCTTCCCCCTTTTATGGCACACTGATGGCTGGGCCAGTACTCTGCCCTTAGCAGGGATTCTGCATCTTCTTGCCATGTGGAAGAGGCAGCCTGATGTGAGGGGTACCCTTCAGGGAGGAAGCTGGCAGCATTCAGCCTTTCTGGGTTTGGTCTCCTCTAGATAAGAAAGAGATTGCTGTGTGTCTTTTGAGGTCCCTCTTATTGGGACCTCTCTCTCATAACACAAGACCATGTTATCCTGGTAACTCTGTTTCAGTGCTTTAAATGGATTCTCAGTGCATTCTGTGATTCTCTGCCAACAGATGCATCTTAATCCACCAGCGAATTTTAAAAATACCTGTTCTTGGGGCACCTGGTTGGCTCAGTCTGTTGAGCGTCCAACTCTTGATTTTGGCTTAGGTCATGATTCTAGGGTTGTGAGATTGAATCCTGCATCAGGCTCTGTCCTGTGAGCCTACTTAAGATATTCTCTCTCTCTCTCTCTCTCTCTCTCTCTTTCTGCCCCCTCCCTCATTCGTGCACGTGTGCATGTGTTGTCTCTCTCTGTCTCTAAAAATAAAAATAAAATATAAAACAAAAAATAAAGTAAAATAAAATAAAAATACCTGTTCCTGAGCCATGCCCAGACATGTGAATTCTGGTCTCATTGGGGGTGAGAAATGGTTCTAACATGTAGTCTACATGTGCCCACTCAGCCAGGGATATCCCAAAGGCTAGGGACTCTGTTCAGGTATTTTCTGGGATTCCCAGAAATGGTTGCCCTTAGGAGAAGGCTCTTACTGATACGGGAAATGGGGTTTCTTGGCAGGCAGTTCATGTCCCCATTGTCTGGTGGGATACCTCTGGAATTTGGAGGCAAGCCAGCTGGAGATCACCTCTAGGCTGACCTGGAGTGTGCTATCACCCAGGGAAGGCCACTGTCTTAGTCTCCATGTCTTGAGGTCAGCATAGTTCTCTGAGGCTTTCTGGCTCGTCCTCAGCTTTCTGACAGAGGGTACCAGTGGAGGGAAGGAGTGAAGGAGGATGGTGCTAGGGTGGGCCTAGGTCTCCTCCCCTGTGACTTCTCAGTTCCCTTTGTGATGATGGGTACATTCATCTTCAGGTGAGTGGATACAGTCACTCACCTCCTCCTTTGACTCTTCAGAGTGACTTTGCAACCTCTTCATCCTCATCTGAAGTATCCGTTTAGCTCTCACAGGATAATCATATTTCCCTTACTTAGTCCTTGAGCCATGCATCACCCTGGCCCTGCATCACCATGAGCTTGTGTGTTTTAGTAGCCTGTAAAAGGTGAGCAGGCACATCTGTAGATGGAGCACCCATGCCTTTGAATCAGTGGCCTGGCATCCTGGGAATGTGCCTGCCATGTCTGGGGAAGGTCACCCTCCCTGCTGGCTGTGGGATCACTGATGGATGATGCCTGCTGACTCAGACTTCATTCTATTCAAATTTCCATTTCAGCCAGGTGCCAGGAGTCCCTGGTGGAGCAGGCCAAATGTACTATGTTGCCAACTTCCCAAAACAGAGCCCTGAGTGCTCATTGGCTTCCTGCTTAGCCTTGCCCTGGGTCTGCCTCAGCCTGCTTGTCCCCCACCTCCCCCGACCCCCTTGCTCACCTACCATCTATCCTATTCTGGTCCCCCGTCTCCTTGTCCTGTTAGAGCTTTGTGACTGAGGGGCAGACCTCATCATCGAAAGACTTTTTTAATTGCTGGAAATGTTGTGTGGATGCAAGTTCCCTTCTAGAAAGATGTGCCTACTCCTGTTTGCCAACAGTCAGAGCCCTTTACGTACTTTTTCCGGTGGGGATGACTTATGTAGAGAGGCATTCATTCCTGTGATGATCTTGTTTATCTTGATGATCTGGGAGCACTTTGGGCCGTGGAACTGAGTGGGATCCAGTCTTGGACCTTGGTTTGCCCATGGGAATGTTTCAGGCTGGCCTTTACCCACCTCCTTCTGTTTTCCAGAATCAGTTTATTGCCTCCTGAGGCATATCCTTTTCCCACCAGAAATGTGTTTTTTTTAGTTTGATGGTACTCCTGTCTTCTCTGAGGCATCCATCTGAAGATGTCCTTAACCCTAGGATGGTGGTCACAATATCAGGAAAACCAGATCCAAGGTTAGGTCCCTGATCCATTTTCAATTCTGCCTCTAATTCCCTACTCCATTGTTTCTTATCTAGCAAATTTGAACGAGTTGAGAAAGAGAATATTCTGGCAAGAGCTGCGAAAGCACTGTCACTTCATCTTCCAGATAGTCTGAAACCCATTGTGGGCCTAAAAAAGCTAGAGGAAGACTAGGCCCATGGTGGGAGAGGTTGTCTCTCACCCTAACAGGAATTGCCTTTTGTGAGAGCCCTTGGGGTGATTCTGTCCACTGAAGGCTATGTCCTTGTTAGGAAGGCACTGTGAAACCCTGATCTCTGTGTGTCAGGTAGTGCTGGCTCTGGCCCCAGGCCTCTTGTGGGCTCCTGTGAGCCATGTCAGCTGCTTATGGTTCCACAGTGTTTTGTTGTAACCTTATGGACACTGGGTTGTGTGAGTAATCAGGTTGCTCATGTGCACCAACGTCCAGGCCCACAATGTCCAATGTGGGAGTCACATGCTGCTGGCCAAATTGAGATGTACCCTAAGGGTCAGATGCACGAGGATTTCAAGGGCATAGATTAAAAAGAATGTAAAAGTGTTTTATAATTTATGTTGAAAACATATTAGGGGCGCCTGGGTGGCGCAGTTGGTTAAGCGTCCGACTTCAGCCAGGTCACGATCTCGCGGTCCGTGAGTTCGAGCCCCGCGTCGGGCTCTGGGCTGATGGCTCAGAGCCTGGAGCCTGTTTCCGATTCTGTGTCTCCCTCTCTCTCTGCCCCTCCCCCGTTCATGCTCTGTCTCTCTCTGTCCCAAAAATAAATAAACGTT